AGCTCCCTTATCCTAGCACTGGCTGATAAGACCCGATCTTCTCTTGGTTGTAAGGAGCGGTCCTCTCATTCATCTCATTGTAACGTGACCCCCAAGATGACCCCATTCCACCCAAGCCAGTCATGTGCCATTTCTGCTGCGATGGGACATGGTGAAGGCCATGCCACCGCCATCTTCCCTCCAGGACCATTGAGTGTTCATGTGCACCTCTGGAGTGTTGAAGTGTTAAACCCCACCTCTGGTCATACTCACAGCCTCTATACCCTCTCTCTCTGTTTACAGCCCCGATGAGGACTCCTGTCAGAAATTTGTGCCATTTATTGGGGTAAGATTTTCTTTTTCCCCTTTGCAAATGTGTCAGAAATATTCATTCATTCTGTGTTTAGTTTATTTTCACACTGAAACCTTTTTTATTCTTGCAGGTTGTGAAAGTTGGAATTGTGGAGCAAAGCCTCTCAACTTCAGGTAAGGAAAGGAATTTTTAAGGTGTAGTATTTCGTCAGGTTAGTGTGTTCAACATTTTAATGTTGTGCTGAGACAGAGATGTAATAAAGCAAAGATGTCACTCACTGGATACAGATTCGGATCAGGAAAGAAGACATTTTTTTCATTTATTTCCCTTCATGTACTGGAATCTAGAATTTCTGTATTTCTACCCAAGCGAGCGATACACATTTTCTCTTACAGTGTGTAGTTTTACTCTGAATGTTCGTGTATGAGATTATTTTTACCCCCAATTTGCAGTGGACTCAGATGATGCGATGGGGGTCAACACAAGCATCCTGTCCTCCCCAACGCCCCCATTGGCTGGTCCGTATGGGAAGGAGATTGGGGGAACCCCCCCACAGTCTCCCTCTGTGTCCACCGCCCTTTCTGGAGCTGGGTACGAAAGACAAAACCACGTCCTATCTTTTCTTTTTCACCCTGAGCTGTTTTAGTAGCAGAGTGATGTCTGTAGTGTTCCTGACTTCCACTGTTTTCCTTTGTAGTTCTCCATGTTCGGGCAGTGAAGTGATGGGGCTCCAGGTGGACTACTGGACGTGGCAAGGCCCAGAGAAGAAGAAAGAGGGGGAGAAGAGAGACGTGGGACTGAAGAACACCCTGAAGAGTAACTTCCGTTCACTGCAAGTCAGCCGCCTGCCTTGTGGAGGGGAGCTCACCCCTCCACCCAGCATGGCCATGACTGTAGTCACCAAGGAGAAGAACAAGAAAGGTACGTTTTGGAAATTATGATTGACACACCCACATAGAAATGAAAGTCAATGTACTTTGTAATAAAAACCTATTAATAGTTTGATGTGTAAGCATAACATGAATATTCCTTAAAATTTAGCTGGATTTTATTTGCCTTTTTTATTAGGCTTTTAGCTCAATGCCCCGAAAATGTAACAAATCTTGATTCAAAAATTCAAAAAAGCAGAACCAGAGATATTTAATTCCATACATCCTTCTTCCTTGTCAAAACCCGGTGCCTACAACACCCACAATTCAACTAAATTCCGACAGTTCAGTCAGAGATTCAGGCATGTTATGCTAGCAATTTATATTTATTTTTTGTTTATTTTCAAAGTTGTAGTTGTAGTTGTAGTCAACCAATGCTGACTCAGATGACATCACTTGAGGCACAGACTTTGCACAGTGGAGCCACAAAAGAACAACAACAACTTATGCTCAAAGATAAGCAGTAGTACTCCCCAAGACTTGTAAATACACTGTGTATTGTGTAGAATATGTAAAGAAAGTGTATTTTTTAGTCCTTGGCTCACTCTTTGTTTCCCTTTCCAGTAATTTTTCTCAGCAAGAAGCCCAAGGAGAAAGAGCTGGACTCTAAGAGCCAAGTGATCGATGGTATCAGCAGGTTGATCTGCACAGCCAAACACCAGCACACAATGCTGAGAGGTAAGGCCGGTGTGCACACAATCTGAAGCTATACTGCCATCTTGTGTTCAGGTCAGGACCTTCCTCAAGATTAAATAGTAACTGATGTAAAAAAATAAATAAAAATAATGATCTGCTCTTGAACAGCTGGCAGTGCAAATACATAAGCATCTGTTATGACATTTTTGAATGCATTTATTCATGCATGCATTTATTCATGCATTAACTCTCATCCTTTTTCATCCGTAGTCACTATTGATGGAGTGGAGTGGAATGATGTGAAGTTTTTCCAGCTCGCTGCCCAGTGGCCCACACATGTCAAGCACTTCCCGGTGGGAATCTTTGGTTACACTAAGCCTGTGTGACCCCGGCCACCATCCACCCAACCACCACCAGACTCTCCGCTGCACTTGTCTCACCGAGAGGCTACAGAGAATTAGAGGAAAAGCCAACAGGCCACCGGCAGTAATAGTTTTCCTGTGGAAATCTTACTGACTCACAACCAAGTGTTCAATACACAAATTTCATGTTGTCAATTTGATGTTTTTGATGTTGTTGGGTGTTGTTGTTGTTTTTTACACACTACAAAAAGAACAAGTACTATTTTGTAAGATTTGTGCTACCGCCTCGGAGGTATTTTGAGGTTTTTGACAATTTGCCACATTTCGATAATGGCAGCTGTGTTTGCACTTTGTTTTTGTTAACATTTTATTATTTCTGTGAAATCCTACATTTATTGTTACTCTATAGACAATGAGGAGTGTGATGGTGATGTGCAGTGGTGTGTGTGAGATTGTTTGAGACCGTGTTTGTGTTTGTTGTTGAAAGTTGGAATATTGCTGTGAATCTAGATGGAATCCTTCTCTTCTAAGTCAGTGCTCAGTTTTCTTACTCGTCCCTTTACTTTCTCAAAAAAGGTAATTTTTTATAGAGAGGAACGCAAGTTCTTTTTGCCTCGTTGCTTCTAAGCACACTGTGTACCTAAAGCAAATCAAAAAAACAACTCAAGCAAGGTATTTTTGAAGGTAGCTAGAATGAATGTAGCTATGATACATTTGTAACGTGAGCAGTTCATCAAATGAGTTTGTTATTGTAAGTGCTGAAGATTTTGTATCGGTGTCAGACTGTACAGTAACATCCACTTAGAAGCAGGGTAACACGACACACAAAACAACATATTTCAACTATCAACAGCTGAATGCCAAATTAAGTTGTGACTGTATGAACTGTCTTATTGTTTCAAGGTCCTGAATTGTTTTTCAGTTTCCCAGTTGCAGTTCCCACCCGTGTTCTGATTGGGCCTTCTTAGAGTAATTTTAGGTTTAACAACATTCATTTGATAAACATGGCCACTGTGTGTTCAGCTTGATCTAATGGCTTACCTGAGCAGATGTCTCACAGACCTGCAGTAACTTAGCAAATACTGGATTTCTCCAGATGTTCAGTGATGTGCCAAAGTCAGGTTTGTTTTACAGTCTAAGCACCAGAGCTCTTGGCTTGGCCAAACTTCATAGTATGTTAAACTGAAAAGTAAAAGTAATGCATATGTGGTCCCTGTGGAGATCAGTAATACGATTACTGAGTTATGAATTTTGACAAATTTAGCAGTTCCACATTTGGCCATATGTAAACCCATTAAGCATTTACAGGATGTGTGCACATTGTAACCAAGCAATTACCATTGTGTCCTATGACACAGCTTCACCGTGGCTGGACATGCAAGTAGTACCTAACCTAAAACATACTGATAGGTTGGTCATTAAATATCGTGTAGGCCTGTCGTGGGAAAATAACAGATGAGTTGGTCCGACTTGAAATATGCTTTGACAGCAGTGTCGAGCACAATGCAAGTATTGAATTGCTTTTAAAATAGGATGGAAAGTGTATGGAGTCTTGCCAGACCTCCAAGTCACTGCCTATGTGTGTCTGTGTAGGTGTGCTATATGTTTGATGGTACTCCCTGAATAGTGTTACGTGAAACTTTTGCAATAGGAAACCTTTGGACAAAGGGCCTTCTGTATGAGTTTGTTGTTGCTTTTTATAAAGTGAAGACTTACAAGCTTTGATAGGCTGGCTTTTTTAGCATTGTATAGAAATATATACAAGATGTATTATTGTGAATCACAAATCCCCCCTTCCACTAAATTGAAAGCACAAGTAGCTTACCTTTATTTCTTGACATAAATGCCAAATATATTTCCAGAGCTCATAACTATGAAGTTGAATTGTACAATGCAAACACTATTAGGTATGTCATTTCTCATACATCATACACTTTGTAATGCACTTTCATGTGGTTTTATACACATTTTAGCTCAAATTGGGACATACTTTGGTTTTGAGGTGAAGTGATAGAGGTGATATATTTGAAATGTATGCCACTACCTATATTCAAGAGAAGGCCGTTCTTTTCAAAATGACCCTTTTTCATAGGGATGTTGTGTTTATGTTGATGGGTTCAAGCACTCTTTGAGGTCATGGCTGTCTGTTACTTAATGTTTTTGCCACTTGATGTTGAAAAGCTTATTTTGCAGCTACCACCGTATGTGTCTGCCTGTGACTACACAGTCAAGTTTTCTTGTCTCCTGCTTTTTGAAGGGTTCACTATCTTCTCTTAGTTGGGAGACCAACTGGCCCTTACACATTTATAAACTCGGGCTGTGAAGTGTTAGCCAGGGCAGAGTTGTTTGAGGGAATTTGTCATTCGAGTTAGCCTCTTAAATACTAAACGGGCATAACGACAAGTGTATTTCAATGTATTTGACCTCAAGTTTTTGTTTTTTTTTTCTCCCTAAATCTAGAGGTAGCATGGGGGTGTTTTGCAAGACTGGATCAATGAGCAGGCATGCTCACTTTGGCTCTGCAAAGAAATTGCGAAAACTCTTAACATCAGTTTTAATGTTTTTCATTAATGGTCAAACTAGAATTACAACATGCCATCTCATTGCTCCTGTTACTTGAAATGCCACCCAGTGTCTTTGCACAAACTCTATTTTAAATGACATGACAGTATTTTTAAATTTACCACTAAAAATATGGGTTACTCTGCATGTTTTACAATAGATGTAAATATGTTTTGGATTTTTATATTGTTTTGTTTCTTTCCATGCTCTCACAAGCAGTTGTGTTTAATAAAATTTTTAATCTTCTGTACAAACAGCTCGTCTTTATTCACGTTTCTTCTCCGAACAATCGCTTTTGATTTCATTGTAACGACCACAATATTAATACAAGGCGATTATAAGCAGACCACAATGTCCAGTCCCGAACATGTCCAGACTCATGTTGTGTTATTCAGCTGAGATTGAGGGCAGGTTGATGTAACTCTTCATCGGTGGCAGCGGTTTAATCTTGCGTCCTGCCCAGCCTCCCTTCCTCTGCCACAAGCCACTCGAAGGGCGTTTTCCAAGCCAGCGATTGCGACCGGCTTTGCCGATTATCTGTTTATTATGGTCGACATTGGACACGCGTCCCACCGTCACCATGCAGGTCTCCAGTACCTGTGTGTGTCGAGATGACAACATTCAGTCCAGAGAAGAACATGATTTGTACACAGCAGGTGGAATCTTAATCCAGATAGCCTCACCTGAACCTGCTGCTTGGACGGAAGCTGAACGATTGCTGTTCCATTTACTTTACGGAGCAAAACGCCACTTGTACCTGAAAACCAAGTAGAGAAAGCACATTTTACAGTACAACGCATTCAGATAACACGAGATGAAACGATTATGAAACTTTCACAAGGATATGCAGTAACAGGATCTTAAAGTACACAATACAATAAATACGTAACTTATTTACTGTCAAATTTACATAATGAGGTGGATGTACATGTGTGCATCCGTGAGTATGCATTACATTATTAAGTCACAATATACTAATACTGAAAATTAATCAATTGATTTGTTGATCAACAGAAGTTATTTGAAAACAACTGACTTTACATCATTATAAATGGAAAATCTTTTAGTTATGGAGTCATTTTCTAATACACCATTTTATGACATTTTAGAAACTAAATGATAAATTTGAAAAAAAAATTAAATAATCCAGACTGAAAATGATCATTAGTTGCATTAGTAACAGAATCTAAACATAAATTTACTAAAGTAGAAATACATTACAAATGATAAATGACCTGCTGCACGAATGTACTCGGATCCCTTCCCTGGTTCTACCTCCAGGTTGTTCACCAGTGTCCCCACAGGCAGAGCTCCCAGTGGGTATGCGTCACCCTCATTGGCTGAGACTGCACAGTAAAACAAAAGGATACGATATCATTGCGTGTTAAATACAGATAGTCCAAAATCTACTGAATAGTTACTTCCATCATCTCTAAGGAAGGTTTGGAGGATGACAAACCAGAGCGAATCTCGTACCTGCCATGCGTCCAATAACTCCAGAGGTTTTAATGACATCTCCAGCCTGCATGTTCTCTGTGGCGATAATCCATCTTTTGCGGCTGCCTCCAGCTACCAGGGCGATGTCAGCCGACCTGCGTAGACAACACAGATTGTGACGACCAACTGTATGTTTTTCATGACCTTTACAACGTGTCAATCAAAGTGAATGCATGGTGAAAGCCGGTCTCACCTGCACGGGTCGTATCGCACTTCAACAACCTTCTCCTCAAAGGTCTGGGGCTCTTTGCCTGCTTCATAGACTAGTCGCTGATAGTCTATCCACCGGTACTTCTGTTTATGTCCACCGCCAATGCCGTGTGTCCGTATCCTTCCTGTGTGGCAGAAAGAAAGTGGAGCAGCTCTTTTCACTCGTATCACAGATAGTATAAGAGCAAATACATGCCGCCACTAATGATTATTCACAACAATTCATTATCAATTATTCTGCTAATTATTTTGTCAATTGATTTATCAGCTGGTCTATAAGATATCATAAAATGGTTTAAAAAGGTCGAGGGTAAAATCTTCAGGTTGTTTTTTTTGTTCAAGCAACAGTCCACAATCCAAACATATTCAGTTTCTATCGCATAAGACGAAGGAAAGCAGCAAATTCTCACAACTGAGAAGGTGAAATTAAGTACTTTTTTGGCATTACAATTCATCATTTATCAAAACACTGATTCTTTTTCTGTCCATCAATCACTCAGTTAATAAAATAATACTTTTAGTTCCATTTCCAACCCTGTTAAAGATTTGTGAAATATCTAGTCTATAGGACAATTTCAGTTTTTCCTCTGTAAAGACGACCTGATACGGGTTTATATCAAAAGCTGTTTTCAAATAAAACTAACTGAGTAATAGTTCAAACTCTGTGGCAGATTTAAATCCTTTACTCCAGTTGTTAAATTAAAGGGTAGTTTCACTGTCTTCCTCTGTTCAGAATACACACGTCCAGGTCTGTTTTAACACGTAGGTCTCGACTAAATTGACACTGAGGGGAAAAACGCTTGTTTTAAACTCTGTTTGAGATTTATATGTTTTTAATATACTATATAATAAATCCACACCTGCACATTATAAGCCAGCTGCATCCCCCCATCCTCCTCCAGCCTGGCCTGTAAACACACAACCACTCATCCTATTTTTGCTACACTGAGCACACATCTTTACCCGTGTGATCTCTGCCTCCTGTCTTTTTCATCCCTATAGGCTTGACGGTGTACTTCTCCCTCTGCTTCCAAAATGTCCTGTTCTGCTCCAGAGAGGCCGTGGTGAGGAAGCCCCTGCACTGCCCGACCGCAGCGGGCCCCAGAGGTCCCAGCTTAGTCTGTGCGACTGCCTGTCGACACAAAAAGGCACAATTGCTCATGACTGGGTAGTTGTGGTGGTTCAGATCTCCAGAGTATGGCTGACTGGAAGGGTGTGGGGTGGGGGGGTTACCTGCGAGGAGAGCAGTGCAGGCTGGGAGAGAGCCAGGGACCGCAGAGCTCGAGTTAGACACGACACCGACATCATAACAACGTCCTGCTGGCAGAGCTGAGGGAGCGGAGGAGAGGCCGTTAGACACAGTTAGTGGTGCACCTTCACTTCATCTGCCCACTAGTCAAGTCAACTTTATTGTCAAGTATGTTATACACGCACGACATACAGCACGGATGGAATTTCAGTCCTTTCTGACCCACGGTGCACACAGGCAATAAGAAAATTAAGGTTCTTTAAATAGAAAAGACATAAAATCAACAATCAACAAGACATAAGTAAATGGGGCGGCAGTAGCTCGGTGTGTAGGGACTTGGCTTGGCCGGTTCAAGTCCCACAGAGTGTGGACTGGTAGCTGGAGCCAGTTTCACCTCCTGTGCACT